GCCAACGTGATGGATCACATCGCGGAAGGTGGCGAGCCGCTCGACTACCCTAACTCTAGCCCGCCGGAGCCGAGGTAGTAGCCACGGCAGATGGCTCCCTCGCATCGATGGTCTCGTCGTAAAACTCCTCCTCATCCAACGCAGCACGCTCGCCCCCCTCCTCGCGGTGTAAAACGAAGCAACATCGCCTCCACCATGCTGGCGTGCGTCATCCTCTAGCATGCTCGTCATCAGGGAGCGTCGGGTCCCGTCTCCTCCTTGCCGCACGCGGCTCAGCCATGCTGGGCCATCGGCGAAGAATGTGTAGGAGGAGCCGGGGAGGAGCACCGCGCAGCAGGAGGACGTGCGAAGGAGGGCTGAGCTGGCGGCGCTCGAGCGCGCGTAGCACGAGTTGTAGGCCGCCGCCGACCCAGATGACACGCCGGGATGCGGATGGCCCTCGCCACCTCCTACAACACTCCGTGCCAAGCGCCCCCGACGATGTCGCAGACGAGTGGTCGAGGCGCGACGCGGCCAGGATCGCGGCTGAGCGCGCTGCCCGGCGCGGCAACCTTGTCGACCTCACCGCCGACGACCCCGTGGCCGGGCCTAGCAACTGCACTGGCAACCTCCACCACCGCTGCCCCCTCCGCCGCAGAGGAGCCAGCAGCAGCGCGGTGCCAAAGGAGGAGCCAGCGAGCGATGTAGGAGGATAAGGAGTACGCCGCCGCCATGTATCGCCACTTCGGCGTGCAGTAGTTTATTTTTTAGTTTAAATTCAAACTATGTATAAATTTCGTTGAAACTAAGCGAACTATGTTTAATTCGAAATTTCTATAATTTTCCTTAATTTTTTTGGGTTTGAGGGTGCTGTATGGGGGGCACTGCTGGCCGACTCATGGAGTTGCACGTCTCGTCGAAGAGCCGACCCGTCCCCAACAGCGAAAAAATCAACATTACTGTTCGCCGGTTGGGGGGGCTCGGATGGAGATGCTCTAACAGCATCTCTAGCCGTCCCCTTAAAACCAAAAACGAAAACTCTGGATAAGGTCGAGAAATTCGTGATTTTTCCGTCGATTTCGCTCGGGACAGAACAATCCCCTTATTACCTAAACCGCAAAAGGAAAATTCGTCGGGGAATTAAAATCGCGCCGAAACACATTATGAAGTTGCGATCAACAGATGAAATTCAGTAAAATAGATTAGGTAAAAACGAAATTAAAGTTGCATAAACTCGATTACTGATGGGTGGGGGATCAGGTGGCTCCGGTGATAGTTCGTCGGAGCCTTTGCGCCTGAGCCGCTAGTCGGCTTCTCAATCCTCGTTGCAGACGAGGTCGACAAACATCTCGGCCTGCTGAGCCGCCTCGAGCTTCCACTCCTCCTGGCATAGGCACCATGCCCTGTCGGATGAGGTAGCCGTTTACCTCCTCTTTGCGGCGGCGTTCCTCAGAGGCTGCCTCGGCATCACGGGCACTCTGCTCCCAGAGCTGCGCCATGACGCACTCGACCTCTTCCTCCCCAACGTAACTGAGCTCGGTGATGCTGACCCCGTTCCCACCGTGCTCGATCAGGGCATGCTCTCCGGGCTCCACCTCGACGGGCTCCAACTTGACCTCCGGCAAGGAGAGGACGACCTCCGCAGACGAGGACCCCTCCCCACTAGAGGAGAACCACGCAAGGCCGGCCCACTTGCGCTTGCGGTTGGCGGAGCGCTTGCGCGCTCCCTCCGAGCGGCTCAGCTAGTGCCTCTCGTCGGCGGAGATGACGTGGTGGCCGGTAAGGCTTCCACGGGCTCGCCCCGGCGTGGTGGACCTTGGCCTCGATGCCATGTCGGCTGCAGCGGAGCGAATCGGCATCGGGAGGAGGATGAAGTTTTGGCCGGTGGCGGGGCACTAGGGGCGGAGGCGGCAGAGGGACTAGGGTTCTAACCCTCAAACCACCGCTCGAGCGGAACAAAAACGGCTGAGGGTTCCGATTTACGGTGGCCTGTATCTCGTTTACAGGCCGCGCTCGATATAAGGGCTCTGTTCTGCGCGGAAACTGGGCCTAAGCCCTTAAGCCCGCCATAATTTTATGGATTTCTCCCTTTTAATGGGACTTCTAGAGATGCTCTAAGTCATGTGCATAATAAGGACGTGTTTGGTTGCCGGGAAGGCCTCTTCTCGCACCGTGGCAAATGAATTTTGGACCGTTTGATCTGCTGGCTCGCACCGAAATTCTGGCCCGCACGCGCTTTAAAGCACTTCTCAGCCAGGCCCGCTAAAAACGCTCGATTCGGCCGTTTCCAGCGAGCCTGGCTAGTTGCTGCTTTAAGCTTCGTGCTCTCTTCCCCACGCGTGCAAGCATGTATGTGTTTTGGCAGAGACGTTGCCTCTTAAACATGCTTAGCTAAATCCCTCCCAATCTTCATAACCGTGCATCAATTCGAAAAAAGCTCTACATCAAAATGGTGCGCTTTGACATTGGTAATCTGATTCGGCCATCAATTTGAAGTTTCGTTAAGTATTTGAACCTCTAACTCGTATTCATGTTTGCAGCTTGTCTGAACGAATTTTGTCAAATTCTTCGCACACGGTCGACTATTTGAAATTTCCTTCGAGGAGTTGCTTCATCTTGCTGTTTTCCACAATTTTTGTGTTGCAAGTTTTCTAGTTTGACATACGTAGACGAGTACATCTACACCTCCCTAATACACCATACAGAGCTGTAGTTGTACTTGTCTATGAACGTCAAAATGAAAAACATGCAACATGAAACTTGTGGGGAACAACGAGATGAAGCTACTCCTCGACGGAAATTTCAAACGGTCGACCGTGTGTGAATAATTTAACAAATTTCATTCGAACAAGCTACAAAAGGGAATACAAAATAGAGGTTCATATACTAGACGAAACTTCAAATCGGTGGCCACTTAGAGTCGCAACATCGAGGCGAACCGTTTTCATGTAGAACTTTTTTCGAATCGGAGCACGGTTGAGAAGATTAAGAGGGATTTAGCTAAGCATATTCGGGTAACCACAAATGCTCAAATGCCACGCGGTGCGAGATGTGAACCAAATACCGTGTATTTTTTTTGCACCGAGATCCATACGGGAGACCAAACGAAGTGCACAACCAGACCCAGTCCACGTTTTTACTCAGCCTGGTCCCGTGGTGAAAATCTCCCGGGGGCAAAAAAAGGGCCCAGGCAACCAATCACGTCCTAAGTTGTAGAATTTGTTCGCGTTGAGTCCAGGCGTTATCACGCGTTGAGTCCAGGCGTTATCACGAGGCCATATCTTACCCAGTAGATTACGGCAAGCCACGCCCCACCCGTCCTTCGCACTAGTAATTCGCTCGGCAAGAAGGTTAAAAAAAAAAGTAATTCGCTCGGCAAGCAGTTATGTGATCGGAAAAATAGATTGTTGCAGGAACCACCATATTATACGGCTAGCAATTAAAAGTAGAAAGAAAGATGCACCAAAGTGTTGACGAACTAGAACTAGCTACTCCACTACTCCCTCTGTTAAGATTATAAGACAGAACGGCTAATTCGTGAATATAAAAAATTACTATTCACTATTAATCAGTGCACGTTCAATGGTCTCACGTGCATGAAAAAGAAAGAGAAAAGTTAGGTCATACATTAATTGGAGGAGAGAGGCTACTAAATGGGTTGTTCCTTATAATTTAAAAACGTTCATAAAACTTATAATTCTTACATTTAGATAGAGTCCAAGCAGAAATGGAAAAAAAGAAGCAAACTTTGTGTCTGTGAGGAGATTCCATGCATGTAGACCAACAAAAAAAAAA